TAATTTCCCTCTGAAAGTTCTCCACTGCCTTAAGCGGGTATTGAACTCACTGGATTTAACCAACGCCTATATCCACTGTGCCATGGTATCTGGGTATGTATTTCTGGGTATTATAAACCTAATGTCTTCAGCAACCATTTTTATCAGTGCTCATATTGCAATTTTGCTGTTATCATTTCTTGTTTTTACCAGAGCTCATATTGAAACTTTGTTGTTATCATTGCTTTTCTCTGGCACTCCTTATTACTGGTTCCCATATTGTATTTATTTCTATGCTTGGTCGGCTCAGAAGATTTTTGTGGCCTAGCATATGTGCAAATTCCTTAAGTTTACGAATTTTCCAATGATGTTCCTTGTCTATGATCTCAAGAAGGAATTATTGATGAAATTTGAAAATAATAAAGAAGTCTACTTAAATAAGCATTTAATTTTTGAGACATTACATTTTATATTTAAGCGGTAGAATTTTCATTTAAATGGATTTATGAAGAAATCTTCTATTTTTCTTTTTAGAGAGATCGATGATGTCTGATTTAAACCCGTCGAGGAAGGCAAAAGATAATCCACTCCTTAAAGATTAAGTAATTTAACATCCAGTTTAATATATCAAATGACAAAGACTTGATTTAGACATGGAAGCCATGTTCAAGATTTTTTTAGATATAAAAATAATTAATAAATTGCTTGGGGCGCACCTTGTCTACATTTCAGGGCGCAATAGTGCGCCCGGGCGCAACTGTTGAGAAACACAGTTTGGAATAGATATAAAGGTTGACAAGACTTTCGGACCACACTGCATAATAGTGAACTTATGTGGCGAGAGCAAATAAAAGAAATTACGGGGTAATAGAATTTTTCCAAATTTATAATTAGTTACTCGTAGTTACGTTTATTGAAATTTTCTTGTTCAGTTCTTCACAGAAATTTTTATAAATTTATTAATAAAAAATTGTTTTCATTGTTATTTCTTTATAAAATGGTAATGAATATTGTATTTTACTTGCTTCACATGTTTTTAGAAGCTTTTTTAGATATAAAATAATTCGGTTAATTTGCACTATAAGCCCCAAAAGCCCCTGATAGTGAGAATGTACCACTAGTGTGAAATTGTCTGGTTACTTCGAAAATGACATTAAAACATTGCGTTCGATTACCGTTTTCGATTTATCGTCAATGTTAGTTCGATCTCTTTCGCGGTGTCTGGCCGCCATTACTGGCGTTGTTTGCTTACGTTTTCCCCTGTAGTAATGCGCGGAAGCTTACTTAATTAACGGCGTTTTTACAGCTTTTCGTATCTTACTGGTCTTGATTACTGCACGATTCTCACTGATGTTAGTTTAAAATGCGCTTTTTTTTTAAATTAAGTTTTACATAAATAGTATTTTTTCTTTCAGTTATGTGCCATGCGTGATACACGCTTAGGCGATCATGTATCTTTCGATACATGACTGAGGAGGCAGATTTTTTCCAGCAGTAGGTTGCCATTTCTTTCTGTGGTAGACCAGTTGCCATCCAAGGCTATAGAACCTGGTCTGTCCTGCTATTTATCCATCGCTGGGGATGCAGAAGAGGATTCATACCTTTCCCAAGAGTATTTTCGCGTAAATGAATGTAATGGATTCGACTGGAATTCAAACTCGGCTCTTCGATTGCTCAATCTGAGCCGCTATCCATGACTCCTCCATTTTCCTTAATAAATCTGCTTATAGCTAATGAAACAGAATCTCACCCTAAAATGTAATTTACGAAGCTTTAAATGCGAGAAACTTTCACGAAGCATAAAAAAAAATCATCGTTGAAAAAAAAAAGGAAAAAATCCTTTTTTTTTTCAGGCACCTAATTTTTATTTTATTTTAATTGCCGTATTTTACGTTTTTTTCCCGTATTATTTCGCGCATTCATTTCAAACTTCACGCATTGCGTAGTAATCAAGACAAGAGAAGCGCCGCATGACTACTTGAGGCAAATGTATGTAACCAAAGCCAATAATGGCGGACGTTCTGCGTACGCGACGAGAAAGAAGTCGAACTTACATTCTCCATAACATCTAAACGGTAATCAAGCGCAATGTTTTAATGTCATTTTCGAAATAACCAGGCAATTTCCCACCAGAATGGTACATTCTCAATACCAGGGGCTTTTAGTGCTTATACTGCAAATTAACCAATAATTCTTGTAAATAAAGAATCCAATAAAACAGTGTTTAACATTTTGTTGCCATTCTCGACAAAAAATTATAAACACACTTTCATATGTTTGGGTTTTATTAAAATTCAAAAAATAACTTTTTACGACAATATTTTGCTGAGGGTGTATACCGAAAGAAAAACTTTTTGTCCTTTTGACAAAAATTTCTTTTTAGGGGGACGTATGTTAAACTTTACCAAAACCATGGCTATAAATATAATTAGAATCTGCTTTAGAATACCCACAGAAATATACTTAAGTATATTTTAAATATGATTCAGATATAATTAAAATGCATAAAAGATACTTAAAATATATTTAAAACCTTTAAAAATACCTAAAACTTTTAAATTATACTTAAAAATAAAACTTAATTACAAATACCTAAAACTTTTAAACTATACTTAAAATAAACTTAATCATACTTAAAATATAATTAGAAACAAACTGAGAATATGCTTAAAATATAACGTAAAATATAACTTAAAATATATTTTAAAATACTATTTAAATACCCATCGAAGTACTGACAGGCTAGTGTTGCTTATCGTACGGGGACCAGTGTTTCAAAGTGACGTGGCTGTAAACTTTAAAATATACTTAAAAATCTACTTTAAATATAATTAAAACATTTTTAAATATTTATAAATTTACTTTAAAATACTTAAAATATACTTGAAATACCAATTAAATAAATATTTCAAATACGAGTATTCTCTATAATAATTATGGTGGATACTTATATTTAAAATAGATTTTTATTTTTGTGCTTTAAACAATGTGTATTCCTTATATTATTCGGACTATTGTTCTCATCTTTATTGTCCAACGTTTAACCCAGTGGATAAAAGCGTTGGTCGGATCCAGTGAGTTGGTCCAAAGTGTTGTGAGTTCAGTACCTGGCTACCGCAATGGTGAACAAAAAATTGGAGAGTTGAGTTAAAGGGAGATAAGTGAGACATCCAGAAGAGGCATGGCAAATAGAACTAAAACAATCTACTCTGGTGAACGAAATAAAGAGTTCAGTTCGATATTCCATTCACCGTAGAACACCAGAGCGTACAACAGCTGAAACGTCGTGAATATGGCAATAAAGATAAGGGCAACAATGCAAACAATGTAAATAATTACAATACCTCATCGCAGAAATATAGACAGATCGTGAAGAAGGCCGGAGCGTACTACTGCCGAAACGTCATGAATATGACAATAAAGCTGAAGACAATCATCCGAACAATGTAAATAATGTAAATAATTACAATACCTCATCTCAGAAATATAAACAGATCCTGAAAAGGCCGGAGCATGCAACGGCTGAAACGTCGTGAATATAGCAATAAAGATGAAGACAATCGTCCGAACAATGTAAATAATGTAAATAATTACAATCTCAGAAATATAGACAGATCCTGAAGAAGGCCGGAGCGTACAACGGCCGAAATGTCATGAATATGGCAACAAAGATGAGGACAACAGTTCGGAGGATACAAATAATATAAGTAATTACAATCTACTGTAATAAATGTTTTATGCCAGATGAACGATTCGTTCCTACCGTAGATCTTAAGCATCTCAGCCTCCGATTTTATCTTTCCTTATAAAGTCGTAAACTGTCACCTTTGCAATTACGGGTAGCATTCAGCGGTTTCTCTTCTGTAGATACGACATGCTGACTTCATTATATTTGTGTTTTGGGAGCATTATTAGATAAATCTTTCAATTGTTTTTTTAGAGGGTTGACCATAAGTAACTGAAATAGCAGAAAAAGAAACCCCAGATAAAGAGGGCCAAGGTAAATGAAAAAAGAAAATCAAATAAAATGAAAAGGGAAGAAATATAATTTCTTGAAAATAAGGTCGACCACCCATTATGAATATCTCCCTGCACGGAAAGGAAAAAATATTCTTTCCTCTCCAATGCCGAATTAAGCAAAATAAATAAGAGGTAAAAAAAAAATTAGTAATAAATAAAAAAAAATTAAAAAAATAAAAGAAATATCTAAAAATGAGGAAATAAATAAAATTTAAATGAATAAATAAAAATAACATTCGACACCCTCCCCCGCCCAAATATCCACTGACACTGATGGGTCATAAAATTGCCACACCCTGAAGGACGATGTCGACTAGGGAAAGGCATGAGGGTGGGTAGAAGATATTCTGATAAAACTTTCAGGAATTTTTAAAAATATACTGGTCCACTCATAAAAACAGCGTCGATTTCACACTGAATCAATATTATGAATAGGAGCCCCCATTTCTAAATTGATAAAAATATGAATATTTTTCGTTTTTGACAAATGTTGCCCCATTAGTAAAGGTTTACTGAATGCTAATCATTCAAAATTATTTGAAAAAGACTTTTCCTTGTTTTTTTGCGAAGGGACCAGTTTATTTAAGTGGTGCTGTCAAAATCTTCCGCTATCTTGTGATCTAGTAACAATCATACCAGTGAACCATCTGTGTCTGAGATTAAGAAGATGACGTACAGTATGATAAGTTTCATTGTGGTGAAAGTCCAATTTTTGAAGGATGATGCCAACTAGGGAGATGTATGAGGGTGGGTAGAAGATATCCTGATAAAATTTTCAGGAACTTTTTAAATATACTGGTCCACTCATAAAAAAGCACCGAATTTTTAGGGGAATAATAGGGACAAATTAGCATTTATTAGAATCTCCTCAAGGTAAACATCTGTCAGAATCGAAAAATATTGATTTTTTATCGATTTTAGAAGCGGGGCCATGTTCATAATGCCGATACATTGTAAAATCGCCTCCTGTCTTTTTACAGCTTTATTTACAAACGCTTACTGCCAAATCACCTTGAAACACCTGTCCCCGTACGATCAGCGAAGTTAAGCAACGTCGAGCCAGATCAGTACCTAAATGGTGACCGTTTTGGAATACCATATGCTGTAAGCTTGGATGTGCTGGGGGTGTAATGGATAATGACTAGGAATTGTTAATCTGAGATTCGAGTTCCAATTCCAGTCGGTTTTGTTATATTCACTTACGTACAAATACAGTTGGGAAAGGTGTGAATCCACCTCTTCTCCCCCAGCTATGGGTTAATTAGTATTACTTGTATCACTAAAGCATTATTATCTCCCCGCACCAAAAAAAAAAAAAAAAAAAATCTTACAATCTAAAAATATTTTCTGGCTTTAAATAAGCTGCAAAGTGTTGATAAGCCGTAAAAAAAAATCATAAATTAATTAATGTTCTTTACAAATGTCAAGTTTGAAACTTTGCTTACAACAGAGCATTGATATCTGTACGCATTTTTTTTTAATTTTCTGAATTTTAGAACTTTTTAAAAAAAATTCTTTTAAAAAACATTTTTCAGCGATGTTTTCAGAAGCACATGTACAAACACTGGGGGATAATAATTATTTACCTTAAATGAAGAATAATTGGACATATATTTTTATTTATTTATGTAACGTTTCCTTCTTTAATCTAAAATGTGTATATCCGGGTATTCTTTATTTAAAAGAAATCTTTTTCTTAAAAAAATAAAACTGTTTTCGTTCGCAAAACAACAAAGTGCAGATGGCCTTGTAAATGTCGGAGATCGATTTTACGTCTCAGTACTATGAATAGGACCCCCCAACTTCTAAATTGATAACAAATATGAATATTTTTCGATTTTGACAAATGTTGCCCCATTAGTAAAGGTTTACTGAATGCTAATCTTTCAAAATTATTTGCAAAAAACTTTTCCTTATTATTTTTTTTTTTTTTTTTTTTTTTTGAAGGGACCAGTTTACTTAAGTGGTGCTAACTTTCAAAATCTTCAGCTATCTTGTGATCTAGTAACAATCATACCAGTGAACCATCTGTGTCTGAAATTAAGATGGTGACGTACAATATGATAAGTTTCATTGTGGTGAAAGCTCATTTTTGGGCAAGGCAGTAAATGTACTAATACACAAGGGGTTACTAAGCATGGAATAATTAGAAACAGAAACATTACTAATCAGCGGGAACAAAAAGAGTAATCAAGAGGACAAAGATAGTGATTGAAAATGCATTTGAATTTTTCATTAAAGTTGGCTGGACGGCATAGAACCGGAAGGGAGTTCCGCAAGCGAGAATTTCAAGAAAAGATTTTTTTTAGAATTTACGGTTACATCTCATCAGTTCATCTGTAGACGTCAGTCTAGTCCTGCGCTTAATTTAAAAAAAAAAATCTAGGTACCATTGTGAAGAGCTCATCCGAACAATTACCATGAAAGTATTTATAGAAAAGGCAGAGGGAAGCCACCTTACAGCGGTTGGAAAGTCACTGAAGCCGAGATGCCAGATCAGGACTAATAATATTGCTGATTTTTCTTTGGGTTTTATCAAGGAGCTCAAGGTAAATAACAAGGGCACCGGACCATAGGTGGCAGCAATATTCTAAGGTAGACATATAGATATAGATTCCGTGGGAGAAAAATTGTCTTGCTCGACATAGTGAGCAAACTTTCTTAGCAGCTGACCTAGCAATGGATTCAATATAGTGTTTCCAGTTCATGTCAGCTGAGAACATTAGTTCGAGAAGGCTAAATGAGTCACTTTTCAGGAGATTAGCATCAGCCATACTGATGGAAGGAAAAAATCTTATCATTAATGAAGAGAAATTTAGTTTTGGTGGTGTTAAAAATTAACAATTTATCTTTTGTCGCAGTTAACAGCAGACTGGAGGTTGTTTTGAACATCGACTCTTTTGTGATGTCAACGAACATTCTTTGCCACTTTTGTAATGTCAACGGATTCTCGTTGTCACTTTCGTTAATGCTCGTTGTAGTAGAGACTTTGTAATCTGTTGTGGATTCCGGGTTGAAATCCGGTACCAATAAATAACAAACGCCAGAAATGAATATAGGAAAATAATGTATTAACGTAATAATACAAACTGGTAATGCAGGTTAGTAGTTCCAGGAATACGGGTTAGTAGCAAAATATCTATACAGTCTTTGGTATTGAAGTATCGCTGTATGACTTCTTACTGAGTCTACGTGCTCGCTCACTGTGACTCCTACAACGCTGTTACCTCACCCTCACTCTTCCGGTTACCTACAACGTTTTACTGTCACTCTTGGACTCGACTCGACAGTCTTGCTCTCGTCTTACTCTCGTCTCTTCCCGTAGCAGTAGTATATGTATATACTGGGTGAGTCCATTTGTGTAAAAAGGGGAGAACCCCTCAACATGATCACAGATACAACTATAGTAACGCCGCTGAACAATACTGGTGTCAGACGCCTTCGAATAACTCTCGCACTAATAGTACTTGCTCGATAATACTCGTTCGAATAGTAATCCGTTTAGTGATCAGTATAGAGAAATAGTATAGTGAATAGAGTAGAGAATAGCGGTACGTATAGTAATAAAGGATAGTGTAGAAAGTGATCCGAATAGTACAGAGGATAGACTAGAAATGTTGATCAATTAGACGCCAAGCTAATTCCCATATATGCATTTCGTCTAGTCACGTGATGTACTTAATTCAATAATGGGGTCGCTTGTGTTTGTTCACTGGCGATGTATATTCAGACTAAAGTGTCGGCAGCGACACTTTATTCCTATATAATAGGCTGCCATTACAAATAGGTAGATGCACGCGTATCCCAATTAGCGCCGTTTAAGTGCGGTCGGATTGTCGAAGATGAAGTTAATAACTCAGCTGCCGAAAAGGGGCTCATAAATGGCTCAAAAGTGGCTCAAAAGCTTCAGCTGCAAATGAGAAAATATATTAGGTACTTACACAGCTTACCTCTTTTACAAAAGTGGAAGTAGAACACTCTACCCCAGTGAGCGAATTAAAGGGTTCAGTTCGACATTTCAACCACCTGAAGAACGTCCGAAACGTTGTAATAAATATGGCGACAAAGATAAGGATAATAGTCCGAATAATGTAAATAGTGTACGTAATACCTTATCTCAGAAATATAGACAGATACTAGTATTATTCACATATTTTCTTGGAACATATATTTCCGAAAGGCTCAACGCCAGACTATCTTTCCAAATGATTCCATCCAAATCTTTAACGTCCCAACACCGTCTGTCACAATAGGGCGAGTCAATTTTGGAATTGTGTTATTGCACTTAGTTTGAAAGTTGGTGTTATAAATAATGAGATAAAATATTTTTTTCAAATCTTTACCGTTGTTTGAGGAAACGAGTTTAAAGATCTTTAAAATTATGAATCTAATATTTGGTTTCAGTACTTTTGACATCAAATCCCAGCTTTCACATCGATTTTTTTTTCTTAAAAAAAAAAGTGAAGAATCAAGCGGTCAAAATTTCTGCCAGTCAAGGTGCAGATAACCAAAATCCAGGTAACAATAAAAGTTTTTATCACATAACGCTTTAAAACTATTAACAAAACAGAACATCTCACTAAAAATAACTTACAACGCGTAATAGGCTAGAATTTGTTGAAGCTGAAAGTAGATTCGACAAGTTATACCCTGTTTTACGTAGAACCTTGTACAAGTTGTACATAAATGCCCTACTACCTTTCATCTCGAATTTGATCTTCAAAGATTTACATGCAATATCGATCATTTGTCTTTTTAATTACTGTTTTTTATTATCTCCCTTAATAATGTTTTTTTTTCTTGTTCTCTTCTTTCACATGCAGTAAACCCCTGCGTCTCAGTGGCTATATTGTCTTGCTTGAAGTGAATTGATAAAAGAAATTCTCGGCTTCAATAAGTATCAAGTTGCCACCGAAACCTGGGATGTTCAGCGCTTAACTCATGATTCACACTGTCCTAGAAGACAAGCCTTTTGTAGAATTCTGAAGTGGATGTTTGGACTGATTTTTGGAGAACACTTCCGAAACTCTTTTGATATAGTACCTAAAGCCTCCATAGTTGTTTGGAGCGCAGTCACTTCAATAACACGATTAAGAAAAGTGCCAGGTTTTTGGTTTAGCAAGATATACTCTCCTTCAGAAAAATGACAATGTTTGGCAATGACAATGTATTTCAGTATTTTATTTGTTAATATCTTCATGTCTTAAAGGGCTTGGGCCTTTATATATATATATATATATATATATATATATATATATATATATTGAGATATAACCGACTATGATGAGAACGAAAATAATATAATATATAAATTCTAACGTTCACAGCATTAATTCGAAAGAGGGCTCGATACCGATAGTACAGCAATAATTATTTATTATAATTTTTTGCATATAGACAAAAACGATTTATACACTACAAAGATGCAACTTCGTTTCGTTTCGGTGCATTTAATTGCACTTCGACTGGTGAGAACCAAAATCGTTATGAACCGAATTGTTCAAAACCATTTTAGTTCTCACGAGTCGTGATGTTTGAATAAATTTAGTAAAAATATCTATACATGTTTTATCAATCCTGGTGTGTATACATTTTAGCGGTCTCTCTCTCTCTCTCTCTCTCTCTATATATATATATATATATATATATATATATATATATATATATATATATATATATATATTTTTATTATCTGTTTTCAATATCTATCTATCTATCTATCTATCTATCTATCTATGTATTTTCAATATCTATGTATTTTCATTATCTATCTATCTATCTATCTGTGTATTTTCATTATCTATCTATTTAAAGACATGAACGGAAAAGTTTTTTTTTTATTCTAACAACATGACTACTTAAGATGCTCCATACTCATTGCCTTGTACCAAAACTAAGCAAACTTAGTACCAATAGAGTGAATTGGCGCGGAGTAATGGTTAACGTGCTAATCTGCTTAATTATTACTACTGAATTGTGAGTTCGATCCTTATTTGCTGCTCCATACTTGTAAACTTGTTTCAAACTGCTTAGTGATGAGCATGATAAATAATTGAACAAATATACAATTGCATAAAAACACTCCTTTCATTATCAAGGGAGAGCACTC